AAACAAATATTTTGTTTGTAAAAAGAGTTATATTTTTGTTCAAAAATACATTTTTAAAATTATCAGCAAAATAAATTATGGTTTATAACATTTGTTATATTATTAAGATACTATCTTACTTAAAAAATATAAGGATAAATTGTATGAAAAAATAAAGTACTTTAACTTGGTTTTTATTTTGGGTAACGTATTTTTAAACATTTCATTTTGGTATCGAAGATGTAAAAGTTTAAACATTTAAGTATCCAGGTAACCGGTTACCATGTTGATGTGACGAGTGATATAGTACCCAATTTATTATTATTTGCTAACATGAATATCTTAATCTAATCGGTTGATGTTTCAACATGTTTAACTGGTTAATGCTTCAAACCTTCAACTGGTTATCCGGTTATTTAAATATTCAAAACTTTATATCATAGATATCAAAATAAAAGATCTAAAAATACGTTACCAGAATATAAATCAATAATATTTTGGTAAGAAATTTGAGCCTTAAAAATATATAAATCAGTTTATTTAGATTTTAATTCAAATCAAACCAAAGACACGCGACCGAAGGGAATAGGGTTTTCTACAAATTGGAAGCCACCCCTCCCTCCCTCCCGTATACTCGCTGATCTTTGCTCCAATATCTAACCTACGCACATTTAGCAGAAAGTGTTGTGGAGCAGCAGCCTCATCTTCATCTTCTTCTATCAACGAAACCGTAATCAAGATTCAAGGAGGAAGAACGATGCCAAACCCATCAACCACRAAAAGGCGCAAGAGAGGAGGTGGAAGAGGGCAAACACCGCAGCAGCAGCAGAGGCAGCAGCAGAGGCTGCAGCAGAAGCTGCTGCAGAAGCAGCAGCCGCCGAGGGTTACCGAGGAAAGTCGGATTCATATTCGACAAACACTTGCACAGTTTCAGGCATCCAATGATGAGAGTAAGAGAAAAATCCACTTTTCATGTTTTATTTGCATACATGAACTGGGATATATCTTATGGGACTTGCTATTGGAAAAATAACTCTAGTATCTCTATAAAAGAGGTCCTGATTGTTTTTTCCTCTTATTAAACCATCAAACGGTTCAGCACTCTTTCGTTATCCATCTGAATTGGTGTTAATGGCAGTTTGGCGGTTGATGATTTATACATGTCGGTATGTCTTTACGTTAACAACTCTTAACAATTCAGCACCTGTTCAGAATTATCAAACACCACATGATAAATATGTATCTGTACTTTTGCCTTTTGTATTGGCCAACTCAGTATGTATTTGTACTCTTGCTTTGGGTAGAGGGCTCTATCCCCATCTCCCCACTGCCAGTCCAGTCCAGTCCAACTCAACCGATCTGTCTAAATGGACATCTTTATTGAGTAGGCATTCCTTTGACAGTTGTCCCTGAAATGGAACGATGAGACCTGATAATAGAAGCTATTGTCATTATGTACAAGCTAGACTGAAACTACCACTAGCTTGTCTCTTTTCACTATGATATCTTCAACTTCATAGCATATCTGCAGTTTGTGCTACTTGCTAGTCACTACAGGAATGAAATTCATGTTGCTTCCACATTTAATGATTGCAGTGTACAAATTTGATGCCAGCCTTACAAATTTCGAACGTGCTGAGGTGCACAAATTGTGTGTAAAAATGGGTCTGAAATCAAAAAGTCAGGGGTGAGTACTGTTTGTTATTCATTTGAAAACAATATGAAACCTGTTCTCAAGTTTATTTGGTATATTCAATTTTATAACATTGTTCCTTACTTGAACTATATATGCCACACAGACTTCCATATGCATAATGATAAAAATGGCCCAATCATCAATTTTAGATGTGATTAGTCTACTTGTAGTACAGTTGTAATTGTGGGTAAACTTGATTGTTAATACAAGGGCAGTCTCTAATGAACCTGAGCTTTTCTAGGCCTAAAGAACCGAATAAACGGTGTGTTACAGTTTACAAGTGCATGGAGAAGTTGAAGAAGATCAAGGAAAAGTCAGATCTCACTTCTTTTACATTTTCAGAAAAGGGAAAAGAAGTTTTAAATGACTATTTTTCTGTTTACCCACCTGGTGATCAAGGGGAGGGTGAAAAGATCATGGCCATGTCTAGTAAAAATACTGATAAGATACGAACAAAGACAAATGATATTCTCTGGAAACCTTTGATGAAAAAGGCTGATATTGCAAAGAAGCTTGAATCACTTGCTGCACGGATGGAATCGGACATCAAGTTGAAACAGGTTTCTCTATGACACCTTCAAGTTTCAATAGTGCAGATAAGGACACAGGATACATTGTTTTAATTATTATGACCTGAATTATATATTTCTACTTTGCAGATTACCGAAGGGAGGTCCAAACTTCCGATTGCCTCTTTTAAGGATGTTATTACATCGACAATAGAATCTCATCAGGTTTCACTATCTACTTGATGTATCATTTATGTTATATGTATACTTATTGGATATAAAAATGAAAACAATGGGAGTTAAGTGTCCATTATATCATCAGGGTTGAATTGGGGAGCTGAGAGGTAATACAAGGGCTTAAATGTCAATAGTAAGGCAAAGAGCGATTGCTGAAAGGACCTCTTTGTATAAATGTATTCATATACATTTATATGACCCAGCGTCTCTGTCTGTTACTATAGTTATATCCATAAGCATCTTTGTCTACAGACACATACTATGTATGTATATATGTAATATATGATATTATTCAGGATTACTGGTATCATAACAGCTTTCTTTTGTGTGCCTTGCTCCAGGTGGTTCTCATATCTGGCGAAACAGGGTGTGGAAAAACCACACAGGTTGGTATCCTTTCCCTGTTCACACCTGCTATAGGAAATTTGATTATCTTTTTCTGTTGAGGATTGGTCTTATGCTATGCAAAAAAATTGCCTTTTGTGGTCTTAAGATTTGGAGCATGAATATTCTATTCCATATTGAATTAGACTTCCATGTAGATGCAAGTTTAAACAAGGTTACCGTGATTGTTAAATCCCAACATAGCCCAGTATGATTACCAACTTGTGGGATATGAATACCGAAAGCCACAAAAGTAGGCATAGAAAATAGAAAGAGCAATAGGATGAGACCTCAACGCATATATTACACCAAACGACGAAGATGAGACGGGTTTGGAAGAACGTTTTCCCAATTCTCTTGGTCAAAAAATATAATTCGTATACAAGATTTATTAGAGAGAGAGAGAGGAATAAAACTGAAGAAATAAAGGAATGGAGAAGAACAAGAGAGTTGGGAGGGATGTATTGTTTCATACTAGTTTGTATTAAATAAACCCCTATACTCAAGTCACTATAGAAAATTACATAGAATTTGGATTGAAAAAAGTAAAGAGGGCCCTTGCTAGTTTACTGTCAAATTAGTGCCCATTTTACTGAACTTGCTAATATCAATATGTTGGGAATGTTCAATGTCCCAAATAGTTAGGTGATACTAATTAATAGCATGCTAAAAGAAAGTATAGCACATTACATTTTTTCCATTATAAGAAGTATTCAAATTTACTATTTACCTAGCAATACATTATAGCAGTATTATGATTTACGGGTGTTAAATTGTGAGACAAATAGGATCACGAACTATGTAAAATGATGAATATATACTTTTTCTTTTTCAATCAAGTATATTCTTATAAGTAACTTTTGGTTCAGGTGCCTCAATATATGTTGGATTATATGTGGAGTAAAGGTGATGCGTGTAAAGTAATCTGCACCCAGCCTCGACGGATTTCTGCAATTTCAGGTATCCTTCGCTAATGTTCTGGGACCACTTTATACCAATAACCTTTTAACACAAGTAGTAAACTATATCTCCATCATTCCTAGTTTATGTGTTTGCTTAATTCATGGTATGTTTTCTGTAGTTGCTGAAAGAATATCGTTTGAAAGAGGTGAAAATATCGGAGAGAGTGTTGGATACAAGGTACATGAAGAGTCAGTATGCATGTGGTGTTATGTACTGTTATTGCTTGTTTTTTTTGTCTTTAGAATTTGTGCATACATCTTTTGGAGAGTAAGTATAGTTTACAGTGTGGATAATATTATTAAAATATATGCTCATCCAGGAATGTGGTCATTTGCAACTTTCCATTTTTACATGAGAAATTCATGGCCAGGCAATAGTTTTTTGTTTCGGGGTTTTCCACCAAACTAGCACTTTCTAGCAAGAAAAGTGAAAACCAGCACCTTTTCTTGGGTTCTAAAGAAATAGCACCCAATTTGCCAATCTATTTCTCCAAATTGTCAGAATTTTCCGCCAACTACTCAGACTCTGACACGTGTATCCCGCCAAATATCCCCCAAATTGGCGAAATTTTGAATTTTCCGGATGTGTGAACTATTTGACTTTTCTGCTAATTTGGGTCCACCAACTAATAAGAAGTGGATTCCGCCAATTGGTGGAATTGATTGGCGAAATTGAGTGCTATTTATTTAGAACCAACGATAAATGTGCTATTTTTTCACTTTTCTTGCTAGAAAGTGCTAGTTTGGTGGAAAATCCTTTTCATTCTTACGAGTCTCAAATTGTGATCTAAATGGGCACACGACATGCAATCCACCGCATTAATGTTCTATTTTGCTTTCTTCTACCAAGGTTAACATTACTGGCTGTTACAGCTTACAAGATACTACCAAGCAAATTACCTAAATGTCTCTCTTTTGTGGACTTTATTGCAAGTAAAAAATTTCATTTTCTATCATACTTCACGTGAATGACAATTTGTATTTCTTTTCTATTGAACCGAAAAAAACAGAAGATAGTTTCTGAATGCCAACTTTACTACAAAAAATTCTTAATGAAAGAACAGGGAAGCTTAGGTGCTGTATTTTTTTTTGATAAAAAACCTCTTATTTACCACTTATGTCTTACAGGTAAGAGATTAGACTTGTAAGGCTTCTTTTTTTCCTGTAATAAGCACTTACACCTCTTACCGTCCTTTCATTGGACAAGAGGTAAAACCATATCTCACTAGCATCTAACCGTCCTCTTGATTCCCTAAACAAAAACTAAAATTTGAAACTCTAAAAAACAAGAGGCAGATAACAAACTCAAGCTTTACGAATTTTACCATGACTATTTGAGGATTGACAACATATAAAATGTACAAGTGTCAGTAGCATAAAATTTAGTACTATTATAAAACAACACTACTATTCATTTTGATTTAAAAAGAATTAAAATATTATTTTTGATAAGTTTTAATCATTATATATGATTTTTATTTATTGGTCATTGTATCTTAATATCTCTAATTTTGATTGTGCTTACACATTTAGACATTAATCAATTTACAAAATAAATCTTATTGATTCTGATTTCAGACTTTGGCATTACCTCTTATCGATAAGAAATGAAATAAGACTTCAAACTTCAACACCGCTTAAAAAAACTAACAACCTCTTATTATTTACTTATTTAGTTTCCTTAACTAATAGTGAATGTAATTTTGAAGTGTTATCTTCTGTTAAAGAACAAAAAGTTAAAGCAAAAGACTTCTGAAGTCAAAGGTTATCAAGTATTTCACCTTATTACACTCTCCCAAGGAAGTGCCATTGATATAAGCTCAAGGAAAAGAGATGCAATTCCAGAAGGAAATTTGTCAGTTACACTGCAGGACTATGGAAAGAAGATGCATCGAAACTTGCTTAATATGTCTTTAAGGAGATTCATAAGCTAATTCATCACTGAAAAGGAAAGCATGAGTTCCTTATATCATGTTTTTTGATGCAGTCAGTTAACATGCAACTTGTAAACTTTATTAAACCCTATGCAAGAAAATCACGGAATAGCAATACACATCTATCTAAATCCACACCAACTCACTACATAAATGTATGTCACAAGATGCTTCCAAGGTAGGAAGTTGATAAACTGAACCATGAATTGTGAATACTAAACAATTCGAAAACTTCCTATAACCCTGGCATGAAATTCCAATAATACGAGCGTGCTTTGAAATTGTTTGTTAATCACTTTGAGTAAATCTCATATTTGTTGCTTACTGTTGCACATCTTTATTTCTCCATTACACCTTAGCTTGCATTTTCTCTTCATTGGTAGTTTGTTTCATTTTTTTTCATCTTCTATTATTATTATTATTATGACTTACCTTTTATGGTGAAAAATCCTAGATAAGATTGGAGACCAAAGGCGGAAAAAATTCATCGATTGTGTTTTGCACGACTGGGGTCTTGCTGAGGGTCTTGGTAAAAGCTGGCAATGGTAGGTCCAGAAGAGAGGCCACGACAAAGATGTTTAAGGATGCATTTCCTGACATCACTCACATCATTGTGGTATTCATCTAATTTAAAGTTGACCTGCAAATATCTAATTTCATAACCATAAACATTGGAGTCTTTCCTTTCGTTTTCTTTATGCTAGTATGTCGATATATCATTTTTTCTATTTAATATTTAAAGATACGACAATGCATTTTAAGGCTTTAAACTTTAATTGTTCTAGGAAGAGTCTGTATATGGAATAGTAATGTAGTATACTGTATAATCAAGTAATCAACCTCTATAAAATGCTTTAGAACTTCATAAGGATGAAAGTTTTTCAGCATAAACATGAAATCACTTTCTAAGAAAGCAGCAGAAACTCATTCGAGAATATTATGCTGATGTTCATGTGGTTTTGGATGGGAAGAGCTACCGAAAAGGATTTACTCTATCCATTCCAAGATGTAAGCACAAGATGATTTTGATTGTGTTTCAACATTTATGCGCGAAGTCTGACTATGTACTCCTGTCGGGACCCTTCTCCCTTTCTATGTTGTATCTCACCATTAATTCCAATAAAAAACCATTTCTTTTTATTAATTTTCAAGTGGAGGTGTAATTTATTGAAAATATTCTATTGCAATGCTAAAGTTCTTAAATTATCTGAAAGCAATGAACCTTGAATGTAGAATGAATTGTAAATGATTTAGAACACCGGAAAATCAGAAATATTGTAACTTGTCAAAGTTCCCTCGTATTCTACAATGGACAAAGTATTAGGCTCACATCAAAGATTTAAATAAACTTGCATAGGATCAGTGATCTGGATATTTCTTAGCTACTTTATGGTCTTTGAAAATAACTGTTCACGTGGACACCAGTACAAGAAATTTGAGGGACGCACCAACATAGTGGAGGTGTAAATACCAAATGTGTATTGGAACTTTTTACATTGCTTATTGCTTTATACCCTGCTCTATTCTTTTTTTATGTCTGCCCTTGACATGTTGAAAAAACACAAATTCTTTTGATGGAAGATTAAAGAAGCTTCTGTTTGTTTATGTGGAACCTCTTTATCCTACCCTAATATAACACTTAAATGGCTCTATTACTTTACCTATTTATCACGATATAACTGGGGTACTACAAAATTTTGCAGGATGAAATTCATGAAAGGGATCGATTCACTGATTTTCTGCTAGCAATCCTCAGGTGCCTTTTACTTTGAAGTTTGAGTTGTAGCTTTGCTTGACTTGCATGCATACACTCGTGTTATATTGAACAACTCTAGGATACTAAGAAGATTTGGCCTTTGTAGTTCGTCTACCATAGTGTTACTATTCAAATATATATGCTAATTACGGGTTTTATTCTGCAGAGATATGCTTCCGTCGTATCCTCATCTACGGGTGGTTAGTAAAATTCAGTCATTTTCTCTCTTTCTCTTCTCCGCCCTCTTCTCTTCCTTTCTTTCCCCTCGGGGAGCCTTGGATATTTCTGGTGGATGTGGTTCGCCCCCACCCGAGCGCGTAATCTGTTTGCTTTTAGCGTTTTTTCTCTTGATAAGAGGGGCCTCCCCCCTCTCTATCAAAAAAAATTTCAGTCATTTATTTTCATATCTTCCATTGTTCTTTGAATATTTATTCAATTTTTTTCACTAGAAACAAAAATAGAAGTATTTCAAGGAGTTGACTCGAGTCATATTTTGAAAGGTACTGATGAGTGCTACACTTGATGCCGAACGAATTTCTCAGTACTTCGGAGGCTGCCCAATTATACGTGTCCCTGGGTTCACTTATAATGTAATTTTCCGTTCCATACCCTGAATCATCTTATTTGGAGGTCTTTGCTTTGTTATTTTGATTTATGCCATCCAAGTTCTGTTTTGAGTTTGTTGCGTCCGTCTTTTAGGTGAAAAGGTTCTATTTGGAGGATGTACTTTTGCTTGTCAAGTCAACAAAAGCGTGTCACCTTGATTGCACGTCAAAAACTAGCATGGATGAGAACTCCCAGTTAACTGAGGACTTCAGGCTTGCTCTTGAAGAGGCTATTAATCTAGCCTGGTCAAGTGATGAGATGGAATCTCTCTTGGAATTTTTTGCAAATAGTGAAGGATTAGATGTTCTTAATTTTCAGCATTCTGTGACGGGAATTACACCATTAATGGTCTTTGCTAGAAAGGGAAGAGTGGGTGATATGTGCATGCTTCTCTCTTTTGGTGCCAATTGCCATTTACAAGATAATGAAGGAAAAACTGCGCTTTCCTGGGCTGCACATGAAAACCAGAAAGAAGCTGCCGAGATTTTAAGAAAACACCTAGATTCAACCTTAGTTGATCCCAGGGAAGAACAACTTTTACTTGATAAATACTTGCATAACGTCAATCCAGAATTAACTGATGTTATCCTCATAGAGCAATTATTGAGGAAAATATGTACAGAATCGGAAGAAGGAGCTATTCTTGTTTTTCTTCCAGGGTGGGACGACATAAATAAAGCACGAGACAAACTAAGTTCTAGTACTTTATTCAAAGATTCTTCAAAGTTTTTGATATTAGCTCTTCATTCCATGGTCCCATCTATAGAACAAAAGAAAGTTTTCAAAAGGCCACCTCAGGGTTGCCGTAAAATTATACTTTCCACAAACATAGCTGAAACCGCTGTCACGATTGATGATGTTGTCTTTGTAATAGATAGTGGAAGGATGAAAGAAAAAAGTTATGACCCTTACAACAAGGTCTCGACTCTTCAATCCTCTTGGATCTCAAAAGCAAGTGCAAAGCAGCGAGAGGGACGAGCAGGGCGATGTCAATCAGGAATATGTTACCATCTTTATTCAAAACTTCGAGCAGCTTCACTCCCAGAATTTCAAGTGCCAGAAATTAAAAGAACGCCAATTGAAGAACTATGTTTGCAGGTAATCATGATCTCTAACATGTTCAGTTGCGTTGGACAGATAGACTTATATAGCCACTTCTAAGCCTCTCTAATAGGCGTCTAAATATTTAATTGAAATATCATTCTTCTAATCTTTAAATTCACACTCTTTCAACTAGTTCCTCTCCTTATATTCTAATTTCTGCATGTCAGAGTTCAGGCTTGGACTCATATTTCTAATTTTTGGCTCATAGGTATCAGAATAGCTCTGTCTAAGTAAGAAGTTGTTTCACATTCGTAGGTATCACATTGCATACATTTGTGTCCTCCCATTTTTAGATCGGACCATAGATTAGTTTCTGTTATGTTTAAAATACCAAAATGTCCACAACCAATCTCAGGGATGTTCATAGAACTATTTGTTGAACACTTGAACTTACTGATTGATTAATGGTGTTAAGTACTAACTATAATATAAGTTGCTCAAATCAAGAGTAGGTCAGGTTTTGGTTCATTTACTCAAGAATGAGATACGATATCTCTATAATTGTTCAATTTGTAGTTGAGATCTTCTATTGAACAATCAGAATGATGATTTTGATCTAACATTGTTTACTTTTGTTCCTGTGCATCCAATCTGATACGTCCATATCAGTAGCTTTATATAAAGGATATGTTGGAATAAATGAAAGGAGACCACCAAAATCTTGTTGCTATCTCCGTCTACATCCTTTTAGCTTTCCTTCGCTACCCCATGTCTGATTCTTAACATCGGATCTTTGGAGATATTTAGATTCTCAGGTTCCACCACTAGTTCTAGGGGTTTAGCAACCTTACTCTTTCTAACACTATGCCTTATGCAGATGTCTGCCGCTATTAGCATTTGTTGTCTTACAACACACTCCATGTACTCCACAGTGTTGCTTTTTTAAATATATGCATGCCAGTATGCCACACAATCTCCGTTTCTCGTGAGTTCAAAGACAATCTGTTGGATATTTGGTTTCATTCTTTATTTTTGTTGCCATATTTGTAGCCTCCGTGAATTTATTCAATCCCCCTAGTATGTGTAAGCATCTGATCTTCAACATTGTGTTCTCGAATTTGGAAGAAAAAAAGGGAAGGAAAAGAAAAGAAGATAATTTTTTTATGTGTTCTTGAGAGGGCCTTTAAAGGGGAAAAAAGAAAATAAATTTCATGTTCTTGAACATGAGAGAAAGGAAAGGTAATATGTCATTTTACAACTATACCCTTATTTATTTTAGAACAGTTTGTAATTGATGGGTAGATGTGTAATTTTACAAATCTTATAATTGTTATTGTCTTTTTCCTCCCCTTTCCTCCCATATTTACAAGGAAATTTTTGGGAGGAAGATCAACATTTTTTTTCTTTCTTTTCCAACAAAAAAACTTGAGAACACGAGATTTTTTCTTTTCCCCCTACTTTCCTTCCCTCCCTTCTTTCCATAAAACCCTTGGCTAGTGGAGTTAGTGTTTTGGTTATAAACCCTTGGCTAGGATACCATGTGAAGTTAGGATTCAAAAGCTTACTTCGATTACGTAAGAAATCAAATGTACAGAGGCAAGGAAACTCTGGGAGCCAAAGCAAATCAATCACAATAAGGAACTAACTCTATACCTACTAATAATATTACTAGGTTTAATAAACTTATTAGAGCATCTCAAAACAGATTTTCCAAAATGGAGAAAATGGGGAAAATGAAGATTTAAACTAAAATTGAGCTCCGACAGATTCTCTAAAAGTATCTCCAAGATGGAGAAAGTAGGAAAGAGAAGGGTTTTTTTCTCCAAATATGGAGATTACCCCACAATTGTTTACCATGTGAGAAAAATATTTTTTTAATATATTTCTACCAATAGAAAACTTTGAAAATAATTATTTAGAGAGATAATATTTTACTAGAGAAATGAAATATTTTAATATTTTAATCAATGTTGAATTCTCCAAACTGGGGAATCTGTTGGAGATGAATGTAGTTTTTTTTAGAGATTTCAAATTTTGGTTCTCCATTTTGGAGAAATTGTGGGGAATCTAATGGAAATGCTCTTAGTAACTGTTGTTTGTAAGAGGGTCTGACAAAAAACTCCTCCATTCCTGGAGTGGTATTTCTGGAAGAATTGTAGGAAGCACATAAAGGGCATCTTGAAGCGATTAGTTCCCACCAACTTTGCTCTGGCACGCCGAAAATCTAAATACCAAAGTTTCAGTTGTAGAAAATGATCTATTCCGATACCTTTGATATAAAGAAGTAATGGACCGGGATTTAGTCTCAAGTTTATTGTGCTTTTATGCCTTATTAATAAGAGATTAACCACATTGCAATCTTGAGGACGATTAGATGTTTTCAATCATTATTACTTTTTCTCAAAGTATAGCTATTACGACTTGATTTGACTGCTATATATGATAGGTCCTTTGAGTGCGTTTCACTTCAGTGAAAAGAGGCAATATCTTGATCCACTAGGCAAATTGCTGTGTTCATAAGCTGGAATCTATTTCATCATCTTCATACTAGACCCACTATGAACTAATTCAACTAATGTTCCTCTACTGATAGGTGAAGCTTCTTGATCCTGATAGCAAAATAGAAGACTTTTTAAAGAAAACATTAGATCCTCCTGTTTCTGAAGCCATTCATAATGCAATTACTATTCTTCAAGATATTGGGGCCTTGTCACCTAATGAGGATCTCACAGAGCTTGGGGAAAAGCTTGGTTCTATCCCTGTTCATCCACTCACAAGCAAGATGCTTCTCTTTGCTATATCAATGGATTGTCTTGACCCTGCTTTGACTTTAGCTTGTGCCAATGACTATAGAGACCCCTTCACTCTTCCGATGTTACCGGGTGAAAAAAAGAAAGCAACAGCTGCTAAATGTGAGTTGGCCTCATTATATGGTGGCCATGGTGATCAATTTGCAATAATCGCAGCCTTTGAGTGCTGGAAAAACGCCAAGAACAGGGGTCAAGAAGGAAGGTTTTGTCGTCAATATTTTGTGTCACCAGGGGTCATGAATATGCTATTCGGAATGCGTAAACAACTCGAAAATGAACTTTATAGCAATGGATTTATTCCAGGAAATTCATCTCAGCTTAGTGCAAACTGTCAAGACGTTGGTATAATTCATGCAGTCCTTGTTGCTGGTTTATATCCTTTGGTGGGAAAGTTACATCTACCTAAAAGAAATGTAAGAAGTATTGTGATAGAGAATGCTAACAATAATATGGTTCGATTACACCCTCAATCTGTCAATTCTAGGTTACGATTCAAGAAAAAAGATGCTATTCCTTTGGTCATATTTGATGAGATAACACGTGGAGATGGAGGTTTGAATATTAGGAGTTGCAGTATTATTGGACCACTTCCTTTATTATTGCTAGCAACAGAGATTGCTGTGGCTCCTCTTGATGATGATAGCGTAGATGATAATGATACTAACTTTGAAGATAGTGATGAGGAAGAAGGTAATGACGAGGAAACAGGGACGCATAGTGGCTACAAAGATAGACTCATGTCTTCTCCTGATAATGTAGTCAAGATTGTTGCAGATAGGTGGCTTTCCTTCGAGTCAACAGCACTTGATGTTGCTCAGATTTACTGTTTGAGAGAAAGGTTGTCTGCTGCAATCATGTTCAAGGTACATATTATGATTGTCTTCTATTATATACATCATCTCCACATCTCTATTACTCCCTGTCTTTGAAATGTGTAATTATGACCCTTCTAAAGTAACTGAATGACAATCGTACCTTTAATAATGGAGGGAGTAACTGTAACATCCCAGGCCAACTGTACCAGATGTTGTCCAAACCTTAACTCACAGTTTAAAAATGCGTCTAGTACAGGAGGGAGGAATCCAGTCCCCTTATAATTATAAGGGAACCTTAGTTCTCCTCCCCAACCGCTGTGGGATCTTACACACCCCCTTGGGAGCCCAGCATCCTTGCTGGCACACCAGTCCGGAACTTGGCTTTGATACCACTTGTAATGTCCGAGGCCAAGCGTATCAGATATTGTCCGCTTTGTCCACACCTTCACTCATGGTTTTAAAACGCGTCTAGTAGAGGAGGTATACAATCCCTTATAAGGCAACCTCAGTTCCCTTCCCCCACCGATATGGGATCTTACATAAACAAATTTCTTCATCCCATAATAAAGGGTAGAATTGGGAAGTAGACACTTATATTTGAATAAGAACACTTACTAATGATTTGTGTTAGATAATTTTTAAAAAAATCTGGAGGAAAATAATGTAATTATATGATTGTGAGAATTAGTATGTGATCAATAGATTCTTGTTTGAGTAAGTAATTGAAAAAAAAATGTTAGCCTCAGGTTACGTATATTTTATATGAAAAATGGGGCTTTAAATAAAATCCCATAAAATATTGTCGAAAATATGGTTTGATGGTTGAATTGTTGGCTGCATAATTTTTTTTCAGATCACGCATCCAGGAAAAGATCTTCCTGAACTTCTTGCAGCCTCTATACATGCAATAGCCAATGTTCTATCTTATGATGGACTTGCTGGGATCATTATGCCCTTGGAAACTGTGGACTCGCTCACATCGAAGGTGCAAGAAACTGATATTGGGCAGCAAGGAAAAGTGAACGGGGATTCAGATAACTTTCTTCGATCGCTACTTGCATCAAATGATTCACAACCGCAATTTCAAAATCAGAGGGGGTGGTTGAAACATCACCCGTCCAGTTCAGCTCAACGAAACCACCATCACAATCAGAATGCCGCCGCGATCTCTAGGGGTCCAAGGGGAGAGTCTCTGAAGCGGCATCGTGGATACAGAGCTTGATTGGTATGAAACTGAATTGGTCAGATGAATGATCTTATGGTAATTAGGCTCTTTCTGTTGGTGTATCAGCTGTGTTTTTTTTGGTACACTTGACCTTTTTATTATTCTAACATATATAGCAATTTGAACCTGTTTTCATGTGCAGTTGGTTTTTTTGTACTATTATCCTCTCTCTATATATAGACCACTGTTTAAATGACTTTCCACTTGCATTGTGTTAGGGTTGTCTACTTACAACTTAAGGAGACCATTAAGCTTAATGGTCTAGGCAGCTTATTAGTTTATACCTACAAGAGTGTTTGTTTATGGTTTAATCGTGAACAAGGACCTCTGACTTGTCTTCGTTAAGCCATCTCAAACAAATTAATACCATAAAATGCCTCGTAACTAATCCAACCCTCTATTTGCATCCCTCAAACTCATTGGTCTATCCCCGTTCAGACAAACAACTTGACCAAAACAATTTCTTCTTCCAGACTTTAAAATACAAATTTTATATGAATACAATTACAGCTTAAAAGCTTTTACAACATAAAAGATGAAAGGAGAGTTTCTTATATGGGATATACATGGGTTTATCAGAAGTCATCGAAACCTCAAATTGTTGGCATTTCTTTATTCAAATCATGAGATTGTCTACATCCATTTTCAGTGTATAGTTTATTTTAAATTTTAATATTAACATATAAGAAACCACAAGGATGGTGTCTGATTGGTTTAAATTTGGCTCCAAAGGTCAAAAGTATCAGGAGGTCTCAGGTTCAAAACCAAGGAGAAATAAAAATCCCCTTGTGGCCACGGAGGTTCAAATGCGGTGACTTCAGGCTATTTGCAAAGCAGGTTGTTGCCCTGGGATTAGTCGGCTCGCATAACGGGTTGAATATCCAGGTTATTCAAAAAAATATTAACATATAAGAGTAAATTACATAGTTCCATCCATGCGGTTAGGTGTTTTTAATTCTCTTTGTCCCATTTTTTAAAAATTCAACACCACATGTCCTTTGTCGTTGTGTTTTCTTTTAACGAGTTACATCCCTGTGGTTATAAGTTTAATGAGTTGGGTTGCTGTTGTTGTAGTTTCTTGATGAGTTTGATCCGACTTGGGTCCTGTAGTTCATTAAGGACCTAGGCCTCGTTATCAAAATGCAAAATGCAACCACAAGGACACGGTTCATTGAATTTTCAGAAAACGAACAAGATAGGACAATAAAACATGTCTGTTGCTCTCAATTTAAACATTATCATCATCATTCATAGCTTTTGATTTTAATCTTTTATTTGTTTCTTATTAAGATAAGGAGATGTTTTAATTATATCCGATTCACAATCAAATATTGCGTATTTATACAAGTATGAATGAAAGGGATTTGAAGCCTATAAACATATGGGGGGGATTAAATGCATCAATGAAATGAAGGGTAGTATATAATAGTAAGTATTATACATAATCAGAAACAAAGAAAAAGAAAATCTTGAGGGTACAAAACTGGTGGGAATGGAACAATTTTAATGGAATGGAAGTACTCAAAAAAATGGTCTTCAATCATATATTAATTACTAATATTAGTACCTTAACTACCTCTCTCCTACCCCGTGCCTATCCATGTTTCCTATAAACCACAAAGCTCACTGCTCGTTTTTGTATGTTAGTCGGTTAAATCACAGCTCATCGTGTTTGGCATCCTCCTCAACGGTCTCTTCTTTTCTACTCTCATCGTTTGAGGAACTCGAGCCTTTTGCTTCCTCTGTTTCATTCTTCACGCTTGGTTTCTCAATTTTTGGTTTTGGCTTTGGGATTCTATTTGTGCTTGCAACCTGGTAAATTAGTGTAAAAAGGTCAAAAACCAAACTAACCGACCTATTAGTCACACAAGGTATGATATGTGGTCAAAATGTATGCAGACCTGACCATCTGGGAATAAAATGTACACAGACCTGGCCTCTACCCCAATAGGTAGAGGTACTGTTTCCAAAACAAAGAAGAAAATTATGCAACATAACGGTAATAAAAACTATCAACATGCCTTGTCTTGAAGATCGAGTAGCTTGCTTATAATTTCTTGAGAAGTAAATGCCGGGGTGATGGATGCTGATATCCTGTCAATAGAAATTGATTTTGAACAATTAGAGATGTTTATTAACACCGTCTTTGGGTTTGTGTAATATAAACACAGTTCTTTTCAAGCATATGATATCGGGTACTTGGCTAAAATGTAAATAAAGATCGCGTTGTTTGCAGAGTTGCAAGCATGCCTCTTTTAACAAGTATCAAAAATGTCATTATCACTCAACTGCTAACAAGTCGAGACCCTACAGATCATTATAGCCCATGAAAATGCTAGTGTGATTATGTGTTTTGGTTGTTTACGCTTTTATGGGAGCATGAAATGTGTTAAAAAGTTCAAATCACTAACTACCCAAAATAAGATTTCACCTATTTTGTTTATGGGCCTCGCAGGAGAGAACTAAAATCATTACACAAGGCTAAGAATCCGGTTATGCCACACATCAGAAGAGTTTGATGCATTGTAAGCACGGGTAGAGTCTTTGGAACAAGTTATGGGGGAATCCAGTTCTGCTCAAGGGTTTGGCACATGTTTAACATCTGAAAATTTTGTAATGGTAGAAGGAAAGAAAATGCTTCAAGTACATGTATTATATAACAGCTTTAACCAACAAAGAATATTCACATCACGACTCTCAAAACTGTTAAAAAGTTCTGAAATTTTCTTTTCTACTTCTTTCATCTCTATTTGCTAATTCATGTGTACACTGTTTGCTGCTCTACATCTCTCTATTTTTCTTTATTATTCTTGTCAGGGGTTTATATTTCTAGTCTTGTTTATGTCACTCTAGGATATTGCATACCAAGAGAGTTTCATCAACAAGTACTTCAGAATAATTCGATATGGTTTTAGATAATAATGTTTCTCCTTTGTATAGTTAGTTGGTCTATTTATTTAACTAATATATTCAAAAACACACATACACACACTATGCATATAGCTGATACCCAATTCCAGTATTTCCTAAATGTTGAACCCAAGCACCCAATACACACCCTATCTCCTAGTCTTCATTGTTTATAGATATATATATGATATAATGGGATATGCAACCATCCTGTCCATGTTGATGGCATAGTATTATTTGAGTGGAAATGTATAAGGATGAACTGTTGCATGCAGAGTTGCATCGTTATTCTCTCTGAAATATAAAATGAATGAAACACAAGTAAATAGCATGTTGAACTCACTTCTGTTGCTCAGCCTCCTTATCATTCAACCACTTCTTGAAATTTTCAGCCTCACGTAGCACCTGGAAATGAACATGGAGCATGGTATTTAACTTTTTGTTCCATAAATAAGGGAGAGTGGATTCTATGATTCGTATGACGATGATTAGAAAGAATATAACGCGGTTTCAGAAGAGACAGAAATTCACCTGATCAATTTTATCTTTTGGAAGCCATGGTTTTTTTGACTCCCACCCACTAACAACCTGCATACATTAAGAATAATCAAATGTTAGGTGGGATAGTTTACCACGTAGCATTTTCAATTCCACTTGGTATTATAATTTTTTATCAAGAGCAAACATTCGAGGAGCGCACATTGAAAATCTTCCAGGAATTCTATATCAAGGAAGTTCGGACTTCAGAAAACAAAGTTCATACCAACGTCATCAAACCAAACAGACGTTATATATCATTCCACTAACAGGGTTGGCTTGGAGGAGATCCCAGGTTTGACTCTTAAGACACCCTCTTAAAGTTGACCACTGAAAGATACTTTGGAGAAAATATATAGAAAAATATATAATAACCATCTCCCCTTGACTGTACAATCATGTAGAGATTACAGCAAAATATAATTTTTGTAACAAATTTCCAAGGCCTTAATTATTATCTAACATTTTACTGTTTTTCTATTCTTCCCATGATCTGATGAAATAGTAAACAAATTTCCACATCTCACAACCACAGGTTCTTCCTCCAAGCATTCTTTGCCTCCCTATAACATCATACAATTAGATTTCATATGCTCCAATGGATTTCCACATTAACATCTCAATATCTTCAAGAATCATAAGCATCTACAAAGTGACTAGAGTGAAGTCGTCACAAGGTAAACCAATGTAGTTAGCTTCTACAAGGTCATAGTTTATCACCCACAAATTCATAATTCCAAGCATACATGCCATAAGCAAAGGGTTCGACAACTTGAAACATTTTAATCGGATCTTATTTACCTCTTTCAGCTCGCTGAAATACTGTCTAGCACTTTGCAACGCTTCTGGCCTTGCTGTAAGCTCCTTGTATCTATAGTAGATGTTTACAAGAGTAAGTTTTGTAATATGAAGATGCCTTTTAAGTCAGGACAACTGGTATTCATTGCGCACCTGAAAAAAATAGGATCACCAATAGCTTTCAATAGATCCAAGCGTTCTTGAAATTGAGTCGCTGAAGCATCTTCACCATCAGTGTACAACCAGTCTTGCACCTAAAGGAAATTGCATGTTAATGGTAAATGACTGAAGAACATAATTATGCCCACAACCAAAAAAACACATCCCATGCGACAAGAAATAAATTGCAAAACCAGTGTATGAATGGAGAATGGCATTTGTAGGGAAACGTAAAGAATAGTACTTGTGGAATCTCAATTCCACACACAAACACCCCTCGTGCTAGAAGGGTCTGCATGTGTATGGAGAATAGAGCTTCCACCAGTATCATTCCTCATCTGGATTTCTACAAATAGAATACATACATATATATATGTATATATATACACTTAATACACATACACAAAAATGTTTGCAGAGAGAGAGATAGAGTACCTCGTCAAGCTTTTCAACAAACGACTGGCGTTGCTCACTAGAAGAAACTTTTTGCAATTCATCCAGATAATCAAGCTGACAACCCCCAATAAAATCGACATGAGAAAGGGAAACTAAAATGCACAATTAACTTTAGAGCACACCAACAATGATAGGGCAACAAGGACATATACTATAAGTCCACATATCATAGACACATAAAATGATAAATTGCCAGAAAGGTGAGTTGAAACTGCAAACAGGACTCAGACCTTTTCTCTAGTCGCATATATGTAGCCCTCCAGATCATTTTTCAACTCTGCAGTCCTCCTCCTTTCTGCATCCTTTGCGTCTAGTGCATCCAATCTGTCTATACCTTCAGCAAGAGATTCCTCTGAGAGAGGTACTCCCGATCCCACAGTCTTCTCAGAGATCTGCAACAATTGATAAAAAACCGAAAATCAATAAGTACAACAATAATATAGATCTTTTCCCAATAGAGTTAATCTAAAAAGCTCCCATGGTCAGACAAATCAAACCTTTAGAGTAACTCTGAAAGTCCGCTTCTTTAATTTCTTTTCTGTACCAAGATCAGCAGTGTTTTGGTCATTTGTGGTGGAGTTCACCAAGTTGGTACTCAAGTCATCTGGATTGGGGACATCACTGGCTTCTGTAGCATTCGCAGAATCGGCTTCAACAGTTAAGTTCGGGGGAGCAGAAGCATTCTCCACAGTCAGATTCTTTTTCGGAACTTCTACCCACTCAGAAATTTCAATAACAGCATCTGCTCGATCCAAAGAAATTATGCCACTTCTACTAAGAGAGAAATGAAGACTGGCTTTGACAGGGGACGAGAGGTTGCGCAACATGTACCTATAGAGTTAAAGACCAAGTAACTTGAATTTCAGAAAAACTCATCTGTGGCTGCATAAGACATTAAGTCTAAGTTTGTATAAAACCTTATTCAGTTTCATCATGAAATACGCCCTGCTTTCAATGCAAATCATTTCCATTAATGCAGTTGTTTTTGTTATAGTAACTTGAAAGGGCTATCCAAGGGATAAACAAGAGACATTTTCGAAGTATAGAACTGTACAAGTTCCATGCCTGTTAAATAATGGACCATGATGTGAGTCAAGACCTCTGTGTCCTGTTTATAAAAGTTCTAGTACTCTGGAAGCATAATAACGATGAGAAATAAAGATGAATAAGTTTTTGGGACCTTAACATACAGAACCTGCATTTGTCATAGATAAGAGCATTCTAACTAGAGACATGTGAAACCAATGTTTTCAAGACTGTTGTCGACCATAAGGCTGGCACTGAGCTTCACAGTAACTCAGTAAGCATGGTGCCCTAGGTTGAATCCATCCCACTCCCACTTGATATGAACTTAATTAAAAATGAAGATATATGTTGAGCAAGAAAAAGAAAATATCGTTATTTAATTTATAGGAACTCTATGAAGATAAGACATATCAATATAGATGATGTCAATTCACCTCAAGAAGCTTACAGCTGTACCTTTCAAACTCAATAAGTCCCTTTAAACAACACAATTCATCAAAAGAGTAAATTTTGTATGCACTTCCGAAAGATACATATCTTTTTCCCAACTTTCTCGTGTTATCCCAAGTTAATTGTCAAAAGCTTGACTAAGAAAGCCTGACAAGGTATAACTGCATACTAACTATAAGCTGTTTCTTCATTTGCCGCTTATATTGGTGACACTGCTGAATGTGGGCAAAGGTAATCTCAAAATACATCACGCCGTTACCTACTTGATGATTCACATGTCATTTTAGAGCCAAACACTAATTAACCCTTGCAACCCTCACCACAATCTTTCCTTAGCAGAAAAAAAAATTAACTGTCTGAGATTGATTTAAAGGCGCACACCCAGTAAAAAGCATTCATGGATGGCCAAAAAGGTCCACTTGATTTGCATGTTTCAATAGTGTGAGCCACGTTAATTAACGAGCACCCCTTCAGTATAACAAGCACCCACGTTAATTGTTTGTTTTTCTTCCACTTTTATTGGTTGTTTTACCCAAGATCCTCGCTTTGAAATTATAAGTACTCTTGTCTTTGGACTTCATTTAACCAAATGGGATACACATCATAATATTTTGAACATGTAATTTATGACTGATATCACCTTATAGGTTTTTTTATGGTTTTATAATATCAACCTTCTACTCATTTTGCACTCTATTAATTATTGCTATGATTGATTAATCATATCTCCTACCAGACAAGCAACAGCAATGTCACTGCTGCTTTTTACCACTGTGCCTTCAAACACACGATCATCGGCCACTTTCATACCCCTGTATTTACCATAGTCATCAATAAGAAAGATGCTGAAATCCCTCGCCTTCCATTAACCACTATGAAATACACTCAAATAACCTCACATGAAGCCCATGCTTACCTTGATTGTGGTCTACTATTACCTAGAAGCCTTTAACTGTCATTAATCACCCTGGACCTTCCTTGTCTTCAACCGCTATCTAAATTCTTACTTATAAGTATACATTTTACAAAGAAAACGTGAAGCCTGTATTGAAGTAACTAAGAACAAATGTTTCCAAGACATCAAACAAAAACAATAAAACATGAGGATCAAAACTGATCATAGCATTTAATCAGTACTTACTTTTCACTAGCATCAGTCAGACCAGAGACCGCATACTTTGCAAATGTACGTGAAGTAACACCAGGTGGCAACAGGTCTTCATTCTCATATGAAAGTGAAACTTCAAAATCCTTGTTGTGAGTGATCGATCGGAACATCTGTGAGATTTAAAAAATGAAAACTCTCATCAACTATTGTAGCTTCTCTGTCGTTCATACTCTTGGATAGCTCATAACTATTAATCATATTTACCTTGATTGGTAACTTTTTCAACCTTGGCACAAGTAACTGTGTGGTGCTCTCGTCTTTTACAAGTTCAGGACCATCTAGATCCATGGTGAACCCATACATCGAACCATCAATCATACCAAGCTTACGATTCAATTTGATTCCATCACTCAGATTTGCAGCATGTAATGATGCACCTAGAACTGTGGCCTCATCCGCATCTAGATGTCTGTCAACATCACTCCTCCCAAGTGATTCTTGAAGCTTAGCCTGTGAACAAGGATACATCAACCAAGATGGATGAAAATTAGCTGTGTGACAGCGATAACACCCTACTTGAAAAGGGTGCAAAAACAAATTAGAAGATACATAGAGTAAATGATCCAAGTCGTTTTAACAGAAGAACGGATAATTTAATGAACCGAGATCTAATCAATACCAAACAAGTGAGGCTACCTCATGAAGAGAATATGATATGAATAAGAAAATGTAAAGCATAGCTGCATAGGGAAAGATAAACAATATTGAACCAGCATGTGTGTAATAGAACGAAATAGAAATAGCAAAAGACCTGCAACTTTGGTACTCGAGTGCCACCTCCAATCAACTCGAAGGCATATATCTCATCAGCCTTCAAACCTGAGTGCTTAAGCAACTCTTTCACCGGGATAATAGATCTTTCCCACAAGTCTTCACACATCTCTTCGAACTTCTGACGAGTTATTGTGCTCCTGGCAACAAATTGAAAGTGAACCATAAGTAATATATAATGAACAGAAAAATCAGCCATGAGTATCTAATAACCAGCAGTTTTGTCCCTGATTATTGCCATAACTCAGGCAGATCTCATATAAGAAAAAGATACCAATTTCTTTCCTCCCTCGATCTTTGTTAGCACATTTTGTTAAAACATTTTAAGAATACTAAAACAGTTCATATCTTGCTTCCAGTCCTATTTCAGCCTTGGCCCTTGTGAATACAACGTTACCAATTGCTTATTCAAAAAGCAAAAGCTATACCATTCCATTGGTCGTTCTCCTAAAATTGGCATATGCTATTTGCTATTTTTTGCTACATTAAAAACCAAATAGCGGCAGTATATCCCACCCGGAGATACGACAGGGGTGGAATGTACGCAATGTATGCAGACCTGTGTCCTACCCCAAAAAGTAAACTCCTGGCTTGAAAGATATTCATAATTACGTTCATAAATAAGGAATTGCAAACTACCATCACAGGTTGCACAAGAACATAAAATACCTAATCTAAGGAACCAATACCAGATTCATGAGATGTACCTAAAATCACGGTCATCAAGAAGTGATTCAACTGAAATTGGTGCTGCAGTATTTGCACTAAGAATTTCTTTGGTACGCTTAACCTGCTTCTTCAATTTGGCCATTGCCTTCGGGGACTTCCTGACATCAACCCCATTCCCAACCTGTTTGTTGAACTCATCTGCAAAGTACTCCACCAACCGTAATTCTAAATTTTGACCACCAAGCTCCGGATCCCATCTAACATCTTTGACCTGCATCACACGTGTTATCGATCAATATCACAATAGTACCGACTTAACAAACGTATCAATGCATCGCAAAGCATGGCAAGAAATAAGCAACTGGTGGCAAGAACATGTTTAGGCATCCAATACACAAGACCCATCCTACTGCACAACTAATGCATACTGTCTACTTATAGTGATTTTGTAGTTTCAGTGTTGGATGTGTCAGCTGGGTATTTTCTCAGTAGCAGGGTGTTGATTCAGTTAGTTGGGTCTCAGTTATGGAGTATTTCACTACTGCATACCGTCTCACAATGTTTTAGCTTTTCCATAGAATACAACTTTTGGGTATAGGTTTAATGCGAAGTACTTGGTTTATAATTTACTTGTATATGATCTAAATGTTCTATTCATGGTGTTTTGAACATGGCTAAGTTTTTCCCTTTTCCAATAAAAAATTTACGAAGAAAGCAAAACGTATAGTATAAGAGATCATAGTAACACTGAATGTTGGCACCTGGAATTGATTGGCAGAAACGGTCTTGCCATACTCCTTGGTATTATAAGCCGAGAAGTAAACAAGAGCAGCATAAGTACTACTAGATCCCATATCATAGAAAATAACATGCCTCGACCCGTTGGAAAAATCCTTATCGATCCCATACTGAAGTGCTGCACCTGAATGCTCGTTAACAAGAGAGAGTGCATTCAATCCAGCCAATTGCGCCGCCTGAAGCAAACCCTTCCGCTCCGCCTGCCCAAAATACGGAGGCACTGTAATCACAGCATCCTTCACCGGCACCTTGCTGTGAAACTCCGCCAATTTCATGGCATACCCCAAAATCATGGCAGTCAATTCCTCCGCTGAATACACAGTAACGCCATCATCAATTCTGATCCCAACGGCGCCTCTGGAATCTTCCACCACATTGAAAGGCAGATACAAGGAATCGAGAAACTTCTTGGCATGAGCAAAAGGCTTTCCAATTAAATCACGAACATGAGAATAAACCTTATCCGGATACCGCGCAACAAGCCCCGCCGCCTCTTCCCCAATGAGACGATCATCACCGTGAAAAGCCACTAGAGCTGGGGATTTCCGTTTTGACATTTCATTAATGGCGATTGATATGGGAGCCTGACCCGGTTTTAGATTCACCACAGCAACTTTTATCCATTCAGAACCCAGATCAATACTGGATACCGCTGATCGCGACGGAACTGAGTTCAACAACAACAAAAAGACCAGTAAACCTAACCTGAACAGCATTTTGGACATTGGAGACCGATAGATTGATGGATGCTGATCCAGATTCCCCTACAACCCTAGATAAATCTTCCACTGTACGAATGGTGAAGTGGGGATTGAAATCGGGATTTCTGGAGACGTATGGAAAGGTTTTAGCGCAGCAATGAATATAACAGAAACCACAAGGAGTGATCTGCTTTTTGGCTGACGTGTGAGGTTGACTCTACGTGGTCAGTGGTATACCTCGCCAATAGAAACATGCCACGTATGCAAAAGTGCCACGTGGTAGCATATGATACCCCCGGTGCGTTGTTGGATGAACGTAATACTATAAATATTTATTTTCCAGTCTCCTATTTTCAAATAATTTTATATTAATTTATAATTATCCTTTTTTAATATATAAATTAATATAACTTAAGATTATCATGAATTAAATTTTTAATTTAATATTAATTGTAATATTATTAATGTCCAGAAGTAAAACAAAATTTGATATTTATCCGCCAACCTAATTTGAATGACTTTTTTAATACATGGGTATTTTTGTTAGTTTTTGAGTAGTCTTATACTATATTATAAAATATTTGATAAAAACTCTTAAAAATTATTTTATAATTGAAGTATATTACTTAAAATTCAAGATAACAAGTATATTATACGTAAGTACAACTTATTAAAACTTCATGTTTGAATTCGTATGACTAACTATAGATAAATATAATCAAATACGGGATAGACATCTCATTTTAAATATAAAATATCTAAAAACAGTAGGATAATCATTAGTTATAACAAAATACTTAATTATTATCTTTATAAACATTATCTATACTATATTATAAAATATTTGACAAAAACTCTTAAAAACCGTTTTTATGTATAAAATATTGTTTATTGATGTATATTACTTAAAATTCAAGATTACAAGTAATTTTACGTAAGTACAACTTATTAAAGCTCAATTTTGAAATTTGTATAACTAACTGCAGATAAACATAATCAAATATAGGATAAGCATTCATT